CTTTACTGCAGAGCAATTACTATACGCAATGAAATATAAATGTCACTGCCACTTGATGCTGGATGTGATGAATAAGCTGCCAGTGATCAAAATATTGAATATGAAATCATTGAAAATGATAGTTTTGAGAATAGGTTGAGATCGTGAATGTGAGGCAGATGTTGAATATGCTGTGGAAGTGCGCTCTGACGATGACAGCGATGGTAAAATCATCTGCTCAAATCTTTTAAGTTTCAAAAGGTAACGAAATATGCTTTATTTTATTCTTCTGTAATTGTTCTTAAAATATCAAGAGAGTTTTTTGCTATTGCAGCAGTTTGCTATTCCATCCGTGCTGGATATATAGGTCCGGGTCGCTAAAGACCCGAATATGTAATAATGATTGGCGAAACATTCATGCATTTAAGGGTTAAGGGACAGATTCTGCGAGTGAAACACGTTCAATATGGGGTTGCACTCTGGGAAAGGAGGATGTCATCATTCGTGAGGGAGGAAGAGGGGAGAGAAAGAAGACTCCTTTACTCTGACTTACATCACTCAGTCCAGCCTCAAGAATCTGCAGACCACTCTCCTTCTCCAGCTGTCCTTTCTGCTCAACTGTTAAAGAGAAAAAAGTGTGAATGAGTGAGAGCACATCAGAAGCTATAGCATGTCATCAGTGCTGAGATGGATGTGTGTGTGACAGGTGTGTTTGAGCTCATTTGAATGGGCATTAGGGAGTCTGTTGTTTAAAAATGATTTTCCATATTTGAAAAGATGTGCCAGAAATGTATTTGTTTTTGATAAATAAAATCTGAATACTGAAATATATATGAAATGACAAATATCCGCAAGCAACAATCAAGAGGGTGTGAGGACAATGGAAAATGATGAGAAGGTGAGTAAAATGCTCTTCAAAAATTATTAGCACTAAGAAAGGATTTTAGTATGTTTGGGGACTTAGAAGTATATTGCTCCAGAAAAATACACCAAGCAAAATATGTTTCAGCCTGAAACCTGCAAGTACAAACATTTATCCTACTGTGTGAATCTGGGGGCAGTGGTAAAAAAAGAGCACTGTGTGCACAATAACTGAATTTACTTAGAGCGCTGTGGATGTCGTCATATTTTCAGCTGATGGATCAGAATTCTGCAGATTTTTTTCAGTATGTGACTATCCAAAGCTTTCAGAGCTTTTGTATTGAATAAAAGGTCCAAAAATATGGCACATTGTGTGGGCTTTGTATGTCAAAAGCAGAAAAAAGGATTTATTTGATGGTAAGAATTTGTATGAGACTAAGCAGTTGTGTCAGAGATATCTTTTCTTTGATAACTTCTCAGAACACTAAAATCAGTAGTTTCTTTCAGTAATGTTGTGACATGTTTAATCCTTCAACACATACACGAGCCATTTCAAGTGCTGCATCTGCTGGCATGACAGAAACAGTAAAGAAGCATGATGTGTTACATATCAACCATTTCTAAATTTGGCCTGCAGTAATGTTAGTTCTGATGACCAGCTTAGAGATGAAAGCTGAATTTTTGCTCCTACAATATATGCACAAAAACATTATTTTTGAATCATGCCATGAAAACGTATTTACTTTATTACAGATAGCCACTGGGATAAATCTGTGATAAATAAATTTTAGAATGTAACTTTTACAAAGGATGCCTTTGATGTCATGAAGCTATTTTTATTTAGTGGCACCAAAAGCAACAATTTCAATGTTGAAATTCTACATTTTAAAATTATTACTCTGAAACATTGCCAAGTTAATAACTGAGAAAATAAAATACTGTAGATACATACATAAAGATTTCCGTTGCTCTGTCTGGTTGACAAAAAAACACTGCACAATTAACAGTTTTCAGCAAAAAATAGGCCATCAGACACGTTCATACTAAATGTGCGAACAATTACCTGCCATGTTCTATAAACCATGAAGAAACATAGCACAACACAAGCGTCAGAGTGTGTACACTCTAATATGTGGATTGACGCATATCCTAGGATGATAGAATCAAACAAAATGCATTAGTTAAAAAAAGCTCAACATATAAGATGAAACGCTTTCTCCTACTTTGATTCTCAGGCAAGTTGCTCTTTTCAAGCACAGCTTTGATAGTGCATTTAGAAAGAGAGAGTGAATTAAAAGGCTTTCTACAGATTACACAGAAGGGAAAATAATTATACAGTGTGAAATTATAATTGACTTTGTTTACTTTGCCGGAGCAGGAACGACAGAGTGAGGGAGCGGGGTTAAGAGGCAGTAGAGAGAGAAAGATATATAAGAAAAACAGACCGTCAAACATGCAGGAAGATAAGGCAAGAAAAGTGTGAAAATAATGGCAATGCAAGGAAGCCGAGGCGAAGAATCTGGACAGAAAAGAGAAAGGGGAAAAAGAAACATTCTGAAGAAATACAGAACGGAATGAGTTGAGCGAGAAAAGAGAGAGAAAGAGTTCTTTAAGTGCCCCCAGATGACGTCTATGCTAATGACACCAGCTGAGTTGGTCTCCGGAGCTGGTCTTGTCTGCTGGAGACTCTTTAATTAGGATTTTAATCTATCAAAGCCCATTCCTCTCGCCGTACACTCTTAATGCTACATTCCATATGATTAAGTACGATGCCTCAGAACAATCAACAAGCAACTCATCTCTCCTTACATCACTGTCAGTCTGTCTTCCACTCATGAAAGAACTCTTTCTCCCACTCTCCCGCTTGTGACAGCGTTAAAGCTCGGTCTCTATAAACAGGTGTATGTGTGTGTGTATGAGACAGAACGAGAAAGAGGGAGTGTGTGAACTAAAGTGTCTATCAGCTGCTGCGGTTGAGAGAAAATGAAAGACACTTTATTTTAGTGTCTGGATCTCAAATACAGCTGAGCTATTCTGCACCACAACATCACTTCTTGAGACAGAGATCATCCAAGCTCACTAAACATCTATTACTGCCATATATACTATTTTGTTGTACAGGCACGGAAATAGAGGCGGCAAATATACTCTCGGCTGTTTGTACGTGGCCATTTTCAGCTGAAAACATTTTGCTTTTGTAACAAAACAAAATTTAGATGTGACACTAATTAATTAAAAATACATTCAAAAGGTAACTCATACAATGGCTGGCAAACTAGGTAGTTTGGTCAATTTTGTATTATTTTTTTTAAATAATAATAATAACTTCACCTCTAAACTGTGTATAAATAAATGTCCAAACAAGAGTCATGTAATGCAACCAATATCCAGAAAAAAAAACAGGAATTGATCACATGAAGACCCATGCAGACACTACTGACTGTGTCAAGGTCAAAGTCTAACAATATCACATATTTTGACCTTTGTTGGGCAAAGCAAGGCAAGTACAGGTCTTTAAATGTCATGTGATGTGAGTCTTTAAAAACAAAAACAATGTCATTTTTGAAATTAAAATGAATAAATTCCTGATAAAAAAAATTTACCTTTAAAAATGTATCGTAAAATTCTTTTCATTTCTCCTTGAATATGTTATTACTTTTTACTTGATAATTACTCCACTTGACATTTTTAAAGTCATTAAATTTTAACTTTAACATGAAACCAACATAACCACAAAGAGTACATTTCTAAGCACATGTTTTTTTAATGGCCTAAGCAGAATTGTATTGTTGTGCCCCCTCCCTCAAATATTACGGAAGTAAAAAAAAATAAAAATAAAAATAAAAAACACCTATAAATGATCAAAATAGAACTTTAATAAAATATAAAAGTAAATAAATGAATTGCAATTAAATTGTATTATTTATAAATTACAATTGTAGCTAGACAGTTACCTATGGCTGTGATTTTATTAATACAGTTGTCTGATTGATTTTATGGTCTCAAGCATTCAGAAATCACACAAAAGAAAATGAAGCAGTTTTACTATGATAAAACTAGAATATTAAGGCAGATGAGGTGGTGGTGAAATTATTACTGACACTAAGACATGTTATTAATGTTAATGTCAACAGCCAAAAAAGTTTCACAGGATTATGAATGTAAGTTTCCTGAAAGTGATGCACGGGCTTCATCTCTGACTTTTAAAATTTTTCTTTTCTCTGCGCCGGACTGCTGATGTCTTTTCTCGGGTATAGCCTAGTTGTCCATCAATTATGATCATTTGTATTCAGCCGCAAACATGAGGTGAGGGCAGGCATGGGCGCGGGCGCAGATGCAGGAATGGCGCGTCACGTATGCTTATACTGCGTTCACCATAAAATGCATTTTTTATCATTTTATATATGTAATATATATCTGTTCATGTTTAGATTTTTATTTATGTATATGTTAATATTAATATAGAATGAAAGTTTTTTTTTTTTTGAGCAACTGGCATGGTGCCCCCCTGGGAGTCGGTGCCCTATGCGAACTGCGTACTCTGCGTATAGGGAGCGGCGGTACTGATGGCCAATCTTGTGTCACTGACCCATTCTTGTTAATGAAGTACCTGGATAATGGTAAATAACTGAATGTAATTGTCACAAAGCAAGGCCAGACACAACAGGTAAGTGCAAATCAGGATGGTTTATTGACTGGGTCAGGGGATGACTGGAATTCCTGGATGGTGACTGAAGTGACTGTGATGAATCCCTGACAGTAATCTTACTAAATCATACATATTACAGTGTCACACCTAGGACTGTAGACTGCATTCACATGTGGTAAACAAGCAGAAATACTGTGCCACTAATATCCATACTCTGTAGAGTACCGAAGAAATGCTAAATGAGAGCAAATGCAACCACGTTAACAAACATGCCTTCTCACATCGCATATTCACACATGAGGGACTAAATCTCACTCTCCCCTGTGCTGAGCTTTGACCCACTCTTGCGAATGAAACTGCACCCAGGTTAACCTTGTGTCACAGCCAATCCCCAGAACTCCTCAGAGTCTCCATTTATTAGAGCTCAGAGACTGTGGAGGCCTCCTCCATCCACTTTGCACTCAGGCCTGTCTGCAGCCACTTTAAATGTAAATGAAAGGCTGGGGACAGAGTCAGGGAGCCTGAGCGTTTCTCAGGGGAACGGGACTGTGTGAGCTCAAGATGCCCTGCTTTTGAAAAAATGCCTCATGAAGGTTTGTGTTTTGTTGCGTTTAGGAGTGTATGCTGGATTTGGATGAGGTTCAAAGGTAATGAAAGATAAACAGAGAAAAGATCTGTCCACAGATGATGACAGAAGATAGCAGTCAAACAATCGTGAGAGGTGGTGGTCTTGCAGAGCTGCCATGGACAGCAAATAATGAGGCCTTTGAAAATGAAACAGATTTTCTTCAGATTTCATATATGACATTTGTCATATTGACAAATAAAAATATAGTACATACCATAAGCCCCTTTCAGTGCGCTATGCGAATTACAATCTGTTTCGCACACACACAAATTCTGGAAGCTGTATATTTCTGATTTTATTCAGTCAAAAATTGCTTTGACTTTCCAAATTATTAAAGACAGCCCATGAAAACATGCGTCAGGCTTGATTTTCAAGTTGTTTTTCAACTGGCTTTAATTGGCTATTGTATCAGTCACTACAGTTTTATTCCAGATATGCATTTCTTAATGTTCCAGCTGTTCCAACACCTCCGTCGTACTA